TTTCAGCTGCTTTTGTGTTAATGAAATTAACAACAGTTGCACTAGAAGGGCAACAATGAGATGATCCCCAAAACAGGAATGGTCTTACAGGTGGAGGCCACTGACATTTTTTTCCCTACTCATCTTTTATGACTGTTTTTCATTTGGCTAGGGTCAGTCACCACTGGTAGCATGTGGCGATACTTGGATCCTACAGAGGTCCTCACTGCCCGGCACCATAGAGCTTGATTGGCATTTGCCATTGAACACCAGAATTGGCAGATCCACCACTGGCGCTCTGTGCTTTTCACAGATGAGAGCACGTTCACCCGGAACACATGTGACAGACATGAAAGGGTCTGGAGAACCCGTGGAGAACGTTATGCTGTCTGTAACACCATTCATCATGACCGTTTTGGTGGTGGGTCAGTGATGGGTTGAGTATTATTATGAGTTGCTGCAATGAAATTTCAGCAAAATGGACTAGCCTGCTGCATCATTTTTTTCACTGATTTTCAGGGTGTCGTTGAATTCAGTCCTCTGTAGGTTGATCATTTTCAGTTCCATCAAATGATGGGGCATCCTTAGGTTCCTCACACATTACTCAGTCCATATCAGTATAGATATCCAGCATCCAGTTTTCAAAGTGTTCCTTTAATTTTTTTAACAGTGTATAATTTTTTTTGACATTGTGTAGAGAAGGGATTGCTTTTTTAATGTTTTCTCCTTACTTTATTTCTTAAGCTGCACATAGGATCAAAATTCAACTGGTTCAGCAGGGACCAACCAATTTTTGATCCATCTATGGCTATTCTTGCTTGACAGAAGTCAATCTACCGATCAACATCTGTCAAACGGGATTGTTGGAAAACTTTTGTCCACCAGCCGGCTGCAATTGCTGAACAGTGTATTCTGATAGTGGAGTCCAACTGGCTGATTTAAAAGGAGTGAACTGTCTATGGCCATCCTTAGTCAGAATCTATCAAATGGTGAATCCTTTAAAAGTATACTGAGAAAATAAAAGTGGAGATACAGTATATTTTGGTTGGAGTTTTGGAAAACTTTAACCACTTTCCACCCCGCCACAGTACATTTACTGCAGCGGAATGGCACGGGCAGGCACAGTCATGTACATATATGTGATTGGCCTTCTTCAGGGCTTGGGGATTGGGCATGCGCGCCCCCTGCCAACCCATGCTGTGATTGGACATAGCACGAATTTGGCAGCTGAATTAGGCCAGTCCTTTTGTCTGAAGTCAGCAGATTGGCTGTGTTTGATGACACACAGAGTGGTTACAAAAACATAGAACTCTGTGTACCGGGAACAGTGATCTGGACTTTTTTTCTCCCTGCAGAGCAGGGAAAAAAACAGCCGTATGGCACAGTTAAAACAGCACATTTTACACATTGTTAGGCACTCAATAACCCCATGATTGCTTCTAGATATTAACTGCTTCCCAGCTAGTTTCATTAGTACGATGACAGTGTACAGTATTAGCACTGATCACTGTATCAGTGTCACTATTGATGTCAGTGTCAGTTAGTGTACCTCCCAGCCAGCATCAGATTGCCTTCCACACTATTACAGTCCCTGATCACCACCATTACCAGTAAAGGGTCGTAGCTGCATAAATTCCAGTATATATACCAGGGTTTAAAATTTCAAGTCCTGAGCTACTAGCCAGGGCTCAAGAGTTACTCGCCACTAGTTGCCCCACCCAACCCCTATCCTGCTACACCCCTAATTCTGCCCCTAAACACGCCCTCGTAAATTATTTCATGAAATGACACGGTTAAATGTTACCCACATTACATCAGAGTCCCCCTACATTACATCAGGGCCTCCAATGTCCCCCTAAACACTCCATCATACTTACACCATGCACCGCATACAACCATAATCCCCCATAATCTTTCACTCACAAAACTATAACTCTACCAAGCATATCCTACCTACTATCCAACCCAGCAGTACCTCAAGTGCCCCATACTCTACCACCCACAATAACCACATAATCCTGAACCTGACCAAAACACCCATACATGTAGGTTTACATACAGACACATGTACATACACACACACAAACAGAGACATCTGTACACACACACAGACATGTACATACACACAGAAACATGTACACACATGCACAGAGACACATGTACATACACACACTTACAGACACATGTATACACACACACAGACACATGTACAGACACACATACATGTACATACACAGAAATACACACGCACAGACACATGTACATACACACAGACACATGTACATACATGCACAGACAAATGTACACACAGACACATGTACATACATACACACAAACACACACACACATACAAATACACACATATAAATACACACACACTTCCTTTGCTTTCACTTTGCTCAACTATTGAGCAGTCTGACGGCTCCCAGTGCGAGTGACAGATCCGGCCCTGAGTTCCGAGCCTGCTCAGCAAGATGGCCCCCACCATAATTTACACTCGCGAGCAGGCAAGTGGAAATTTCAAGGCCTGATATATACTATAGTTTGTAGACAATGCAATTTTTGCACAAACCAATTAATATACGCTTACTAGAAAGATGTAGCAGAATAAATTTTGGTCTAAATTTATGAAGAAATTGCATTTTTTATTGGATATATTTTTTAACAGAAAGTAGAAAATATTGAGTTTTTTCCCAAAATGTTCAAACTTTTTTTATTTTATATAATAAAAAATAAATACCACCAAAAAGAAAGCTCTATTTATGTGAAAAATTATTATATAAATGTCATGTACAGTGTTGCATAAGCACTTGATTGCCAGTTAAAGTAGCTGAATAGAAAAACAAAAATGCTCTGTTCATGAAAGGGGGTCCACTTGACCTCTGTTCCAGAGGTCAAGTGGTTAATTGACAGCCAGTTTCTACCTTCTGTTCTTCTGGGATTGGTATTTCCTGTACCCCAGTACTTCAAAAATGTTTGTGTTATTGTGCCTTAATTATTATTATTATACAGTGTTTATATAGCGCCAAAAAGTTTGCTCCGCGCTGTACAATATAGTGGGGAACAGTACATAAGGCAATACAGTAACAAAACAATATACGAGAGGCTCCAGGGCCCTGATCTTTCGAGCCTACAATCTAGGAATCATTGTATCCTTTGAAGCTGTGTGATTCTTACTTCCTGGAATTGTTACACCATTTATTCTAAATAAAGAATAATAAAGAACGATAAAAAAATCTATTGAATGGGCTTAATTTCACCCCATTCAATGACATAGAATTAAACCCTGGATTATGCTGTTCAAAAATCACAACACCATTTCATATTGTGACGCAACGCGTCGGCCTGACGTGGTGACGTACTTCCGGCGTGGTGGCCATCTTGGTGCACCTTTTTTGATTCCTGTACACCCATGCAGATTACACCCAAAAGCATAGGGTTGTAAAGCTGTCATCTTTGAGGACGGATGTGAGTTGTCTCCATATGTTTATGGTTTGATTTTCATTAAATTTACCTGCTACACTATGGGAGATTGTGTTTATTTTTTGGCACATACCCATACCCCATAAGAGGAGCCACTGCTTGATTATCGACCCCTAGAGAAGGATATCTATGGATGGGGAAAGTGGATCAGTGGATATCAGTAGATGCTGAGAGGATTTGAGGGTTTGATCCCACTATACGCTTTGACCTTCACAGGTCGAAGCCTGGAGAGGGAGAGGCTAATCTAGCCGTGTGTTGGAGTTTCTGCACCTGGAGTCACTTTATGATTACGTGTGCTTGCAATTGCAGTAGTGGTGTCACCCACCCATTGGACATTTGTCTACACATTTTTTATTTTTGTTTTTGTTTTAGTGTGACATTTTTTGCACCATATTTGCATGATTGATCACAGTTTAATTATTACAATAATTTATTGCTTTCATGTGTTAGAATTTTTCACAAAGATTGGTAATACACAGTATTTATACACTGTTTTTTATTATATTAGTTTTAATATATATTTTTTGATCACTATGACCACTTTATTATATTTATATTCATCTCACGAGGTGTATTGTATGTGTTATATATATTTTAAAAAACATTTTTTGATTAGTATTTTTTAAGTTCTATGAGTAGCGCCACATTTTTTTTGATTTTTACCATTTCTAAACTTCACCCTTACATTTTTGAAATATCTTTTCATTTTCTTTCTTAAACCATGCTTCTGCCCTTTGACCACCTCATTACTGAATCTCATGTATGCTCAGGCCAGAATTAGCCAAGCCTCTCTATAAATGCAGAACTGCTTTGGTGTTATGACATATTACTATATTATTATTATTATTATTATTATACAGTATTTATAAAGCGCCAATAGTTCACTCAGCGCTGTACATTACAAAGGGGGACAGAACATGTGACAGAACAATACCAATACAATGCAAAACATGAGGGGATCGAGGGCCCTGCTATATATCATAACACCAAGCGTATCACAGCTCTTCTCCATCAGGAACAGTGAAGAACGTGGATAGTCACATGGTGTTTCAGGAAGTAAGGAACTGTCTGAAGGCTTGCGAGATCAAGCATGCTATGTCACCACCACAAGGCATTCAGCACATTATGGCAAAGACAGTGTGCCATGAATGTAGAATAAAGTGCATATGTACCAGTGATGTCATTGACCAAAACAAATGACAAAATTTAACCACCTCCCGCCCGCCATATAGTAATATGCTGGGCGCAAGGTGGTTCTGTCGTTCTGGGAAGACGTCATATGACGTCTTCCCATTCTCACTGCGCATGGGCGGCTCAGGGAGCGCGCGGCGATCGGCGGTGCGCTGTGTCCCTTGGACACAACGGATCACCGATCACGGAAAGAGTCGAAGATGTCGGTTCGGTCATGTAATCAGCTGTGTCCAATCACAGCTGATCACATGTAAACAGGGAAATGCCGGTTATCGGCATTTCTCTCCTGTCGAGCTGTCACGCTGACCGAGGAGAGGAGAGCCGGTAATCGGCTTTCCGCGGAGGGGACATGTACACTGATCATCAGGGCACTGATGATCAGTGTGCCCTGATGATCAGTATAGCCCCAGCAGTGCCACCTGTCAGTGTCCATCAGTGCCTTATGTCAGTGCTCTTCAGTGCCTCGTGCCAGTGCCAATCAGTGCCACATCAGTGCCACATATCAGTGCCTACCAGTGCACATCAATGCCACATATCAGTGCCCATCTGAGCTGCCTTTCAGTGTCACCCATCAGTGCCAGTCAGTGCCACCTATCAATGCCAATCAGTACCACCTATCAGTGCTGCCAATCAGTGCCACCTATCAGTGCCAGTCAGTGTTGCCTATCAGTGACAGTCAGTGCTGCCTATCTGTCATGCACCGCCTGGCGGAGTCTCTAGCAACCCACAACACGGGGTTCCTCAGGGCGCGGGGTCTAAGTCCCAATCTGCTTATTCACCAGGGCCCCTGATGGTGGGGATGGACTTGGAGCAGACTGAGACCAGGTCGCGACCCCCGAGTACGTCCGGCAGTGGTAGAGAGCACTGTCAGGGGTGTGTGGGAAATAGAGCCTGACGCGAAGAGGCTGGCAGGCCTGGTAACAGGGACAGATCCATGCGGGATGGATGGATCGTCAGGGTAGCGTAAGGAGTAGTCAGGCAGGCCAGGTCAGCAACGTGCGGGCAGCGAGGTACCAGAGGAGCAGGCAGAGAATGGTCAGAGTCACGAGCCGGGTTCAGCAACTAACGGGCAGCGTGGTACAGAGGATCAGGCAGAAGAATGGTCAGGTCAAGCCAGGAGTCAAGCAGGAGACAATCAGCAGGGTCAGGATCAAATGCAGAGGTCGGCAACAGGAAGCTTCACAGGATCAGAATACAGGAACAGGACAATAAGACCAAACGGCAACTTGTGTCTGTGCAGGGCTGGTTTAAATAGCCGGCCCGGCGCTGACAGGTGCGCCTGGGTCCTAGTGCCTGCCAGCGCCGTCATAGGTGACAGGCGCGTCTGGGTCCTAGTGCCCGCCTGCCTGCATGTCTTGTCGGACACCTACGCATGTGCAGACTCGTGCGTCGCGGTGATCCCTGACACTATCAGTGCGCATCAGTGCCGCCTATCAGTGCCTGTCAGTGCCGCCTAGCAGTGCCAGTCAGTGCCAGTCAGTGCCGCCTATCAGTGCTGCCTATTGGTGCCATATATCAGTGCTGCCTTTCAGTGCCCATCAGTGATGCCTGTCAATGCCCATCAGTGATGCCTGTCAATGCCCATCAGTGATGCCTGTCAATGCCCATCAGTGCCACCTATCAGTGTCCATCAGTGCAGCCTATCAGTGCCCATCAATGCAGCCTCATTAGCGCACATCAGTGAAGGAGAAAAATCACTTTTCAAAATTTTCAGTGGTTTTTGGTTTGTTTAAGAAAAAATAAAAAACCCGAGGTGATTAAATACCACCAAAATAAAGCTCTATCTGTCACAAAAGAATTATAAAAATTTCATATGGGTACAGTGTTGTATTACTGCGCAATTGTCATTCAAAATGTGACAGCGTTGAAAGGTGGAAATTGGCCTGGGCAGGAAGTGGGTATAAGTGCCCTGTAGGCTAGTGGTTAAATAATGGCACAACACTGGGGGATATAGAAGATGCCTACAAGAAGTATGAACTATGTAACTATCGAACTATGCACACTATGTTTGTGGATAAAGGAATGTAAAACAAAATGTGATTTTTTTTACCTTAACTTCCCTAGCGGTATGATTATGTCCATATTTCTGGGCTCAAAGCGGTAACTTTTTTTGCATGGAAATATGTTTTTTTTATTGTAGGCCTGTAATTTTTAGGAATAACTCACTGAAATTTGTCCGAACAAGAGTCTAGTAAACATCTCGGGTAGGATAAAACTTGAAACACAAAATCATAAATTATAATTTAATAAATAATCATAAAAAATAATAATATAATAATAAATTTAATTCAATAATATAATCAAACCAAAAAACACTGAAATTTGAAATATAGCGTCAAGTTCACACATCACTGAGCAAAGTCGCAAAATCGTTTTCAGTGTCTGATGATGGATTTCCCCACGAATCATTATCACTCATTTCTGCAAGTGGTTCTGATTTACTATCACTGTTTTCTAGCTGGTCTAAAACCGCTTTTGACCTAAAGGGACACTTTTTGGACACCATGGACGTTTCTCAGTTTCCAGGCAGAAAGAACAGTAAAAATGCAGGCTGGGCACAGGACAAAGCACTAGGGACAAAATGTGAAATGGTTTGATACAGTAATGTTTTACTATGTGATTTTAGTGATTTTAGTGAATGTCACTTTTTGTCATTTTCAAATTTCCCGCCGTTCCGTCCCCCGTATGTCCCGATGATCGCAGGGGATGGAACCCTGATGACAGATGCCGTCATCCGCCAGATTACATTGCCGGGGACAATGCAGGAGGGACATCACGGGAGCGCAGGACAAGGTAAGTGATTGAGGGATCCCGGAGCAGTGCCGCATGGTAAGCCCGAGTGTAGCTCGGGGTTACCGCTTGTGGTACTGAAACTTTACCCCGAGCTACACTCGGGAATACCGCCAGGGAGGTTAAAGCGGTTAAAAAGCCTAAACATGTTTACCTTAATGCATTCCTTGCATTAATGTAAAAAGTGTTTAGGCATCAGTATTCCCCGCCTCTGCCCCTGCCCCTTTTTACTTGCCTGGGTCTGCATTCGATCCAGCGCTGTGCAAAAAGCAGCTATTCTTTCCCCTCACTGCCTGGTCTCACTGGCTTTGCTGAGACATCAATAGCCATTGGCCAATGACCTGTGGCATGAAACTGTCTTGCACAACCTCAGTATCAGAGTTTTAATCCTCCTACACTGCTGTTTCTGTTTCAGTTAATCACTGTGTTTCAACCTATACTGTATATTAGCAGTACTTATTATGGTTAATCATATACCTGGCTCTAATTCTACAAAATCCATGACTCTTTATAAGTGTAGAAAGTGTGCAAGTGTAAACATTGATGCTGGTTTGAAGTCAAAGGGTAGTCACACCAAATATTGATTTGATTAAAGAGGAGTTTCAGCTGTTTTTGTGTTTATTAAAAGTCAGCAGTTACAAAAATTGTAGCTGCTAACTTTTAATAAACACATACTTACTTGTCCTGGAATCCAACGATGTTCTCTCTTTCTCTAATCCATGGTGCCGGCATCTCTACTGTGGGCACCAGGCTGTGACAGCTTGCGGCTTCAGAGCCTGGTGCCCACTGTGCATGCACGAGTCATGCTGTGCCTCCTTATCGGTTCGGCAGTCTCATGGGACCTTGGAAAGTTCCCAGGAGACTGCAGAAGGGAGGAGGGGGCCACGGCAAACTGAGCCGGAAGTGGGAGCGGGTACCTGTAAAAACCAGGTACCCCCCCCCCCCCCAAAGGCAGTGGAAGGGGGGAGGAGGCAAATAGCGGAGCTTACGCTTTTGAGTGGAACTCCGCTTTAAGATTTTTCCTCTGTTTTCTTACTTTGCATTTTGTAAGTTGATAAAAATAAACAATTAAAATATATATATTTTTTGAAAGCAGTCTTAATTTAAAGCATTCCTTCATACCTACCTATAACTTTTGCACAGCATTGTACATTGGTATCATAGTGATTAGGGAATGAGCAAACTTATAAACTGCCTTGGTGAATTTATCAAAACATTCTGTGGACTTTAACTCTGGAGCAGATTACATTGAATTTGTGGCCCTTCGGGAGCTTCCAGGTAAGCTATTGTCACAAAAATGGCATGGGAAGACAAGCACAACTGTGAGCGACCTTTGCCAAAAAAAAAGAGTTGAAAAACAACAAGAAACTGGGCCCAGATGGCTATTCTGCTATTTTATAAAAAATGCAAATATATCATAAAAAATTAACATATTTGAACAAAATATAGATATCGACAGCTGACAAACTTTTTCTGGACTCTATCTAATATCTGTATTTGTATATTCACCTTAAGAATTATGTTTTGTAGACAAAAAAATAATAACATTAACATACAAGTATTGGTACAGAGTTGGTAGAAAACTGTAGCTTTTTTCCCTTTGCCCAGTTCACCTTTTAAAGTCTGCACTGCACTAGCAGTATCTAGCCTTCTACATACTTTTTGTGCTGATCTAATCCCAGCACACCATTATCAGTCTCCACCTTATGGTATCTACCTAGGTGCTCAAAGCCCACCTAGCACTAGTAAGCAGTGTAGCTGCCCACCCTTCCCAAGTGTCTCATGATAAAGAGGAGAGCAGAGCAACAGCGTGTTATTAAACCCAGCAAAGTTTTTATTTCCAGAAGTTTTACAAGTACATGCTTCAAAGCTATACATGGTGTTAGGGAACAGTTCCATTTTCATGGACAGCCTCAATGACCACATACTCTGATGGTACATGTTTGGAATTGAAAAAGGTAGGTAATTTTAGCATTGACACATTCAACCGATATATAGAAACTGGCTAGTGGATTGCTGAGCTGTCTCTCTTCTCATTGATGCAAAACTGTCCTGTCACTGGCCGATTTCTATCAAACTCTCAGAGAATTATGAAGCTACATATCGTACAGCAGTGTAAAATTGGTCAGCAGCAGGACAGTATTAACAAGCAGAACTGGCCTGGAATGTACCAGAGACACAAGCAGATGTGTGTCTTCAACAATTAAGACACTGAGGATGATGAGGTAGTGAGACTAGTGTGAAACGTACTGGAAAAAACAGGATACAGGAAAGTGTTTACTGCAAGAATTAGGAGATCGCAGAGGATAAAGCAATGTACAATTGGCTAGCGGCAGGAGAGTTTTAAAGCTGAAATTTCAAAACTACTTTTACTTGGACAGAGTGCCAAATGAGAAGTGGCTTCAGGGGACCTGTCGCACGTAGAGGAAGCCTGTGGGATCGAGGGATAAGGTAAGTAAAACTTATTTTTAATTGAACCCTGGACAAAAAAAAATGAGTGTTTAATACTAGCAGTATGAGGGAAGCCCAAATGCAAGGTAGTTTTAAAATTAAAATTTTAATCACGGAAAATAGGTGTAGCCAGGCTTTACCTAAATGTGAACTTTTACTATGGGGAAAGGAGGATGCAGGAAATGTAAGTGAAGGTGGTTTTGGAGCACATTGTACTTACTCTAAACTTTTTTTTTTCCTTAAAATGATGCAGTAGTGTTTTGTGAACAAAAGATAGCTCCAATGACAGATGAAATGGCAACAAGCTAATGCTACGCTTTTAGCACCCCAATTTTAAAGAAGGCTCTAACTCAAAAATTACCACCTGAAACAGAAGCCCCTTTTATTCTTAAAGAAAAGTCTTGCAGCAAAAAAAAAAAAAAAAAGCTTGGAAGGACTTTTGCCTTCATATCAGCCATAATTAAGAATTAAAAACAAAAAGCCCCCAAAGAACAAAATAAGCAGAAAAGGTTGTGGCATTCAAAAGTTGAACACAGTTTCCCAACTAACCCTACTTTCTTCTAATGCAGTTTATCAACTTTCCCTATAATCTCAATACATCAACATTATAATACATTTGGCTGTTTTGAGCCTCCACCTCTTTTTTACTGAAGGGGCTGTCCTATTAAAAGCCCCCTTATTGCCCCTTCTTACCCTGCTGCCCATGGTTCAAAGGTCATACAGTAGATTCTGGCTAAAAAATTCAGACCAGTGAATTTACATATAAACTCATCATGATTGTAAATTTAGAACCAAGAATTCACAAAGAATCCTTGGTTCTGGCAATTATAAACCTCATCCCTAAATAACACTAGTTACAATTTGAGAAAGTAATCAACTATATCCCTGGTTTACATACTGTGAAACATCTTGGAAACATAAGCAGACAGTCAAATCATCAGCTACTGCAGAACCTTACGCTGCTGGGAATAAGGACAACAGTTGTGCAGTTTCTCTGCCAATTAGTGACTTTAAAAGAACAACTGGTAAATAGAACAGAAGGGGAAAGGAGCAGACATGAGTCTATAAACTGGATAAATATCCATGTGTACCCAAGGCCTCAAGAGAGTTATCTAATTCATGAGCAGTCTTTTGAAGCAAGAAATCTGCTGCCCAGATGTAGGAGAGCTGATCTGATTTGAAATCAGATTGCTTTATTTCTCTTTTTAAAGATCACCTGTTTGAAACGTATAGTAATAAGGGTCACTCAGACTGTCAAAAAGCTAATTACACCTGTCATT